TGCTTGCAGACTCCGTATAAAAAAGAGAATGAGCAAAGGCATCCAGACAAGCTCACCAGACACTCCTTCTCTCCTCTTCTCTCTCTCTCTATCTGTCTCTCTCTCTTCCCTCCTACTCACTTTTACATTTTTTCACTCCCACTCTGCTCACTCACTCACTCGGTCCTGTTAACCTTTCTCAGACAGATTCACTATTTCTTGCTCTCTTTCTCTCTCAGTCTCTCATGTCTGAACTGGTTCACCCTGCTTTCTGCTGCCTCTCTCAAGTCTCTCCTCTATTCGCAATCAACCTTCTGTTCCTCGCCGTTGCTGTACGCTCCATGGCGCTCTGTTGTGGGGTGTATAATTAGAGATGAGAGTGTTGTGCAACTCTTCAGCTGATGGTAGGCGTATGATTGCCTGATGGCATTGGCGTTGCGCCTGGTTCAGTGACTTGTTTCAGGCCAACTTGGACACTAAAACTAACACAGAGGAAACAGCAATTTCCTTCGATTGAGCTCTGAGTTTTTGCCATGAACACTCTTTTAAATCTCGTAACATATATGAACAAGGTGTTTTTTTTTGTCAGTATTGACATGATAGAAAGTACATCCCATCATGGGGATCTCCTGTTCCATGACACAGCAAAGGTTTCTCTACTGGTTTGGTATCAGGTGACTGAGAAAGGCCATATTGTGAACTCACTGTCATGTTTATGAAACCAGTCTGAGATGATCTGAGCTGTGTGAGATAAATCATTATCCTAATGCTAGCGTTTAAACAGTATTCAGTGGGTAATATCGTGCCCCAGCTGTTGTAAGAACACATATCCCATACCATTACACCACCTCCATCAATCTGAACCAGTAATATCCGTACTTTCACATTGTAATACAAATTCTGACTGTGTGATCTAAATGCTCAAGGTTAAACATATTCATTGGAAGAGAGAGATGATTTTCCAAATCTATAATTGCGTAGAATTCAAAAGCCTGTGTGAGCTGTAGCCTCAGTTTCCTCATTATCCGCTGATATGGATCAGAGCTCATTTTGTTATGCTTTCAGGGACTGTTTTATACAAACCATTCCCGAAAGCAAAGGTAACCACTCATTTCTAACAAGGTAGAAATCCTGTGTAACAAGTCTCCTCAGATCTCTGACATCAGCAAAAAAAAAAAAAAATCACTCCTTACAGGACTTTTTTTTCCATTCGCTGTAAACCAGAGAGATGGTTTCGCATTAAAATCCCAATTGATCAGCAGTTTCTGAAATGCTTCGTACATTGGTACTAACCGCCATGCCACATTCAAAGCAGCTTAATTCTCCTTTCCCTTTCTATTCACATATTTCTATACACAAACATTTCAATGCATCAAGTTGGTGTCACATTTTTACATGTGTTATATTAGAATAGATTAGAAACATCTCTTGTTATCCCACTTTGGGGATAATTAGGCAGCAATGCAATTAGGGAAATGAAAGCATATGGGTACACATCAGGCTAAAAGATTATGAAAATAAAATCCAACCATTAGAATCAGAGGAGGGTAGACCACACAAAAAATGTCCCAAAGCAAGAGTAGCACTACTTCAATGCATTTTTACTCAAGTAAAAGTCAAAAATAGACTTCCAAAAAAAGCCTCAAGTAAGAATAAGAAGAAAGTCCGCTCAAGCACTGAGTAACTGATCTACTTGCTACTGATCATTATGACATCTGATTTGATATTTCAAAAATGTTTAAAAGACACAACAGCCAATTTAAAATAAAATGGAAATACGGTGCAAATAACATAACTGTAGACATTGTGGAACTGAAAGCATGTTAGTAAACAAAGACCTGATTATTTGGCTGTATGAAAGCACCCCTATTTTTCCATCTTTTTGTGAATTATTGTTGTATTAAGTCAGTAAATAAGTGAGAATGTCTTTCAAACTGCTTTGTTGAGATTATTGAAAGGTCAGCATCAACTAAAGATTCCAAAAGAAAAAAAAAAATCAAGCTGCAGAAAAATGAAAGCAAGCCTTTCATAGTGATGTGTGAAACTTGCTTTGTTTGTTTTATCTCATAGAAGAAAGAGGACATGCCTTTAGAACACCAGCTTCTGGCTCAGCTATTGATTTTGCAGGGCCTCAGCAGGTGAACCCCCAGTCATGAGAAAACCCACGCACGATTTATTATGTGGTGAAGAGGATTTCTCACTTTGACTCACACCAAGCTTCCTCTGCCCACTCTCTCTTTCTGTGTCTCTCTCTTCAGTCCTCTGGTTCCTCTCTGCACACACAGTTGCTTGGGTTCATGGCAATGGTGAGAGTTTGCATTGCATGCCTCCTTTGCCACGTTTAGCATATTTAGGCTGAACCACAGCAACCTGTGACATTTACAACCAGTGTGTTTTTATTGATAGAAATCGCCAGTCACTCCCACCACTTCCCAACTGCTGCACAACAGCTTGTATTTGCAGTTTCACTTTGCAGCTTGGCATAACAACCAAAGTGACAGTTCCACTATCTTTTTTTTTTTTTTTACGTACTGAGATAGGTACAAGTTTGTTGTTCTCACACCAAAGAAAACAGTTGTTGGCTAGTATGATTTACCAATAAATTCAATAAACACATGTGTCATCTAAGTCATTAAAAAAACCTCCATAATGCATGTTTCGAACATCCATACTAATTGATGTTCTTACTGTTTTCTGCAATGATTCCAAATCACTCTCTTTCCCTGCATGTTATTGAAACAAGGGAGCTTACAAAGATCTAGATTCCTTGCAGGCTTAAAAACCATTATCAGGAATTCTGTCTGGATCTGACATGCTTTATCCAGTAGGTGGAGGCAAAGTTGAACAATTGAGGAGTGAGTTTCTTAAATTATAATAGATATTTCTATCCAGTGGTAAAAGCTGCAGAATTTAAAACCTAAACAAACTGCTTGATTAGTGTTTCATTGTCATTCTATTATTAAAAGCTGGACAAACACAAATAAAATCAAAATCATTATTGAAATAATGTGTTAATACACAAGAACCAAACATAAAATCATATTGGTATAAAAGGAAACTACACGTTTTAATTATTTAGGGATTTATGGTTGTTTTGTAATTTCTTGTTTTTTTGGGTTTTTTTTCTTATAGTCCTTTGTTCAATCCGACCAGCTTTGCCACTTAAAGCAGCGGAAAATGTTGACTTTTTTTTTTCCTCCAGGAGGAAAAATGTGATCTGTTTTGGTTTTCTGTGATATTAGAACTAGTCTGACTTGTTTTAATATTTCATTAGGACAATATTTCTATATTATAATGATAAGTGTTCAAAACCTCAACTTAAGTTATCATAACATTATTTATTAAACAAGGATGAAGAAAAAACTTACACCCAAAACGTCAGCCATGAAAAAAATTATTATTTTTTTGTCTGGATTTTTAAAGAAAAGAATCAGGAACTAGTGATTAACAAAATTAAAAGTTCAAATTATTATTATTTAACCTTATACGTGTTTGATGTCGCTCCATTAAAAGTCACCTCATTCCTCCACTAATTCAAACATCTGCATGGAGTTTGTTTGGAAGAATGTGATCCATTTAAAAAAAAAAAAATATCAAACCAATAATGAGAAGTAGTGGCACAATGCAGAAATGCGGGCGATGTCAAAAAATAACAACATTCTAGGAAATTATATATTAGCTGCAGCAAATATTAGAATACAGAAGGCCAAAGAGTTGCTTAGTTCTGTATCTGTCTGGGTATCTGATGGGACCATGAGTACTCACAATGAATTTCTGCTCATAATACCTCTGGGGGCAGCCGTGAAGGACCTTACAAGGAGTGAGGCAGAGGAAATGATGCCATGCAAAAGCCCAATGGACACAAACTGCAGGATAGATATTTTTGATCAAAAAATAAACACACTTAAAGAGGCTATGAGAAACATAACTGAGCAGAAGATGGAAGAAATTAACAGTTTTTAAAATTTTAGATGACAAGATGAGTGCTGGAACAAGATTTTTTTAGATTGAAGTTTTTAAGACTGTGAGAATATTTTGCTTTCCATCAGCTATCTATAGTCTAAACTGGTCTGTTTTTTGCAAACATTAAAAACAATAAAGACATAATTGAGAGTATTGCTCCATTAGTGAACACCTGCTCTAATTCTGCACTCCAATTCGACAGATGGGAGTTTATCATGAAGAATTTTCTAAATGTTATCTCAACTGGTCAAATATACAGCATTTATAAGGTGTAGTTCAGTTTAGGTGCCAGAATACTTGTAGCTTCTAGAAAACCAAACGAGTTAGAGTATTTATTTTTAGAAAGAGGAAAACCGAAAAATGGGGTGAACAGTTTTGAACATATACAAGTGTACAACTAAAGTTTGCTGGAACATAGGCCCATTCCTCCTGACAAAACTCCTGTTATCTGTAATATTTTCAGCTGTGCACACAAATTTTCCATGGCACTGGGAATAGGTCTTGTGGTTGTCACTGTGATTAGGGTTAATACCCATTTGGAAAAGCCTTTGATATTTACAACCTTTAGTACGTTTTTAAGTAGATAATATAGAAAAGACTTCTTCCTCGCCAACTGGGCTCATAGCTCATTTTAATAAAAGATCAGCTTGTCGTGGGTAATGTACCTCTCTTGCCCAAGAGAGTTCTATTTAATTAGTAGATGAGACGAAATATTCATCTTTTTTCTAGAATTGATTAAGCTATTCTGTAGAATAAAGACTATATTGATCTTATAAGACTTAACTGTCAGCATGCATCATGTTACATAACTCTACAGATGAAAGATTTTGTTCCAACAGGCTGAGCTTAGATGTCTACTAACAAGCAAGGAGAAAGAGGTCAAAAGACGTAAATGAGGATGTGAGGAGGGGAAAGGGGAGCAAGAAGACAAAAATAACTGAGGCATGTGTCTGTTCCTCCTTGGTATTTTCCACTCTGGTAAATCTCTTCCTCCCTCCTCTCCCTGCTTTTCTTGTTCTCTTCCAACTCCTCCCTCCTTTCTGTCATTGGTCAGCTGGTTTGATCCACAGAGCCACAAAGTTGCTCTAGCTCTCATCCAAGTGGCTAATGCTGCCCTCGGGGAGGAAAAAGAGAAGCAGGGAAGAAGAACCGGTGGGGAGGCAATCTATATCAGGATACTTTGGACCAGTTGACGAGAGAAGAGGAGGTTGGAGATGCTTGTCTGGATTTTGGTTGAACTCTGAGGAGACTGACCTTTAACCTTCTTTACATCTGATCGATGGTTTTGTTTTTAACAACTTTTTCAGCATCATGAGCTCCTCATCAGCCAACCTTCAAAACAAACTTCTGCCTTGTAAGTGATATTAAAACTTATGAAACTGAATCCTGTGTGTTTAATCAGATGATAAGTTTGACCCAGATTTAACATTATAGGAAATTAGTACTAAAGTGTGTGAGCGTATGTCTGTTCTATTGTTTACATTTCTCCTTACAGTCAAATGTGTAAATTTAAATGGACAAATAACCCCACAATAATTACTAAAAACATATGTTATTGCTGCAGGTTTAAAACTTGTACCATTTTGTTAACCTAGTTCTTGGCCAAATATGGACTGGTAAAGATTCATTTATCATAACAGGAGGGTGTGTCGGCCATGCTTACTTAGTTAGATTTTAAATGCAAAACCTTGGGTAAGAAAAATCAAAACTTAAAAAAATTCTAGATAGTAGTTCATTTTAATTCAATTCAGAAATATTTTATTATTCCCAGAGGGAAATTAAATATAATATATAAGCAATGTTAATTTGAAGTTAAACGCTATTAGTTTATTTCTACATGAAAAAGTCAGAGAAAAAACAGCATTTATTAGTGAACAAATTGAAACAACAATCCATAAAAACTTATAAACTTACCGTAATATAAAATTTTTTTTTGTTTTTAGGGAATCTCAGTAAATAACAAATCCCACTACTACATAACTATGGAGGATAAAAAGTGCCAAAATTAAATAAATAAATACAGCATTAAATAAATAATTAAATGTGTCAATAATTAATTAAAAGTGGCATCAAATAAATAAATGTGTCATTCATTAATTAAAACCACGTCACTAATATAAAGTGCCACAATTAAATAAATAAATACAGGGATAAATAATTAAGTAAAGGTGTAATTAATTAAATAAATAAGGAATTAAATATAATAATGTGTCATTAATTTAATAAAATACGTCTTCATTTTATTACAAAAATATATATAATTATTTCAGTGTGCATTTAATTATTTCATGGTCCTGTGTCACAGTGCATAGAAACCATTAAAAGAATCTGTCAAACTCACCCATTAAAGTTAGGGGGGGGTTATCTAACACCTGATTGGTCACCCTGCACATTAAGGCGAAGCAAATCGATTACAGAGACTGTGATCTACAGGTTGTGAACATACTCTGATACAGTAGGTGACGACTCGATTCGCGTTAACCCCGCCCCCTAACTTTGATGGGTGAGTTTGACAGATTCTTTTAATGGTTTCGATGCACTGCGACACAGGACCATGAAATAATTAAATGCACACTGAAATAATTATGTATATTTTTTTAATAAAATGAAGACGTATGTTATTAAATTAATGACACATTTATATATTTAATTCCTTATTTATTTAATGAATTACACATTTAATTAATTGTTTATTGCTGTATTTATGAATTTAATTGTGGCCCTTTATATTAGTGACGTGGCTTTAATTAATGAATAACACATTTATTTATTTAATTCCACATTTAATTAATTATTGACACATTTAATTATTTATTTAATGCTGTATTTATTTATTTAATTTTGGCACTTTTTATCCTCCATACATATCTGCCATATATTTCAAATGTCTATGATTTCTTAATTACAGAAAGCCACACAAATTGGTTTGCTAAACGTTTAACAAATTTGCCATACACTATTACCAGCTGAACAAAACTGTTTCTTGGCCTTGTTTAAACACCTTATATGTTTAGCATAGCCATGCTGAGATGCAAGATCTACTATGCATATACTTGTCTACTAAATGTGTAGAACTTTTACAAAAATGTTGTAACGCCTATATATTCATAACATTATTTAATATCATGCTACACTTTGCAGACTCTCAGTCTGCACTAAAGAAGACTAACCTAAAGCTATATCAAATTTACTGAATGAATTAGCTAGAGATTATTTGACCACTTTGTGGGTAATAAACCATAGGGTAATTGGGGAATAAACCTTAAGTCCAAAAGAATAATATTGTTTTAATTATAGGAGATACATAACCAGAGAAATGACATAGCAACATTTTTTGCTCTCCTGTTGAAGTACAACAGTGGAAACTTGACCCCACTTCAAAAAGCAATAAAGAATTTACGGAGACAACAACTTTACAAAATTTACTTTGTTGTCTTAGAGTTAGAACTATGCTAACATATTTTGTATCCATGATTCCACATGGCAAAATATGTGGCACTGACACAGGATAAACTGTAACATTAAAGAAAGCGCTACAACATTAACAAAGCGCTACAACATTAAAAAAAGCACTATAAGATTAAAGAAAGCACTACAAGATTAAAGAAAGCATAAAGAAAGATTTATCACTCCCCTGAAACAGTGTATAATGGCACAACTAACATCAGGAAATGGAGAGTAGTAGCCTCTTCTATGCAGCCCGCCTTCCTTCAAATTAGTCTTTACTGACCGCATACTAACTTACACATCGGGGTTGGTCCGGAGCATGTTCCGTATCACCTCATATGTATGCTCGGATTAAAAAAATGCATGAATAGTACTATTAAGGTTTGGATCACCGAGAATATTCATGTTTTTAAAAAACAAATTAAAGCCAGAATAACTTCTGGTTCCAAAGTAAAATGAGCTGCAGTCCAATCAGCAATCTCTTAGGTCTCCCACTGGGACATACCTCATCCGGTTTGTTAATGTTGTAGTGCTTTCCTTAATGTTGCAGTGCTTCTTTAATGTTGTAGTGCTTTTGTAATTGGTTATTGTGCTTTGTTAATGTTGTAGTGATTTAGACCTTAGGGCCACCGTATGATGATGCTAAATTTACATAAGTAAGGAGAACTGAATTAATGTTCAACAGTACCACTGCTAAGAAGAATCTCCATTTTTGTAACATTTATAAATGAAAGCCGGTGTGACTGTTCAGCTAATAGCTACCTTTGGGGTTGTTATCTGCAGTGATTAACACATGAGCTGCCTGTGCCAAAAAATATGAAAGATATGTTGACTAACCACTCTAACTCCTTCTCACTAGTACTAGACAAACAGGTCATATTCTCTGGAGGCATTTGAATATGAACATATACAAACATCAGCTAGGTTAAACAGGCTCATCAAGGACTTTTTCTTCATTTCCATTAATTTTAACCCCTTCCAGCCTAACTCTGAGCCTCTCCCTAAACCTAATAATAACTGGTACATACCTAACCCAAAGTCAGACCTTATGTAGAATTGTAAGAACACCCTTCCGCCCTCAATGACTTTATTAGTAAAGTACGGATAATATGAAAAGGAATTATAAGTTGTCACTCACATGCAAGTTTAATCACACATGTTGACTTTGCATTGACTTCTATCTCCCATTCCTTTCAACCAAACCCTCCCCCTATTACCAATACATAACTAACCTAAATTCAATTGACTCCGTAGCCTCCCAACCAAGAAGAGAACATTTCCTTAAAGGGACATATTGACTGATTCACACACTTTCATTTCCCCACAAAATGTCTCATATTCCTGGGAAATTAGACTTACAGTGTCCCCACAAGGTAGCCAAACAATGAACACTCACACACAGAGACGTAATGTTGGACTAGGACCAAAGCAGAAATACAGACAAAGATCTATTCTTCCTAATGGGATTGCTCTGTCAGATCCCGTCAGAGTTGACTCATTGCAGTCTGTTTTCATAGACAAAGTAACCCAGATAGGATCTGAAACTTAATTAGTACCATCTAGTTCAGAGATTTCACAAGACTAAAATGGATCAGGGCTTTGACTCCAGAGAAGTTGTCCCCCATCTGTTGCTTTATCAGCTTCCCTATATACTCGGCTCTATTAGGTTTTAATATTTGCTTGAGTCCGCTGCTAGTGAGAGTTGTGAGTGGAATAAAGGTTTCTCTTTAAGTCTTTGTAGTGAAGCTATTTAAAGGTTGACTTTTATGACTCTTCTGCTGACATCTTAAGATGATGGTTTGCATTTAATTTTATTTTAGAGCATCAGAATAGATGGGGGTTTAAAAACAAATTAATTTCAGACTTTTAAGATGTCCTTATGTCTTTGCATATATGACACAAAACTGTTAAATTATTTGAGGGTTTGGAGGTATGACAATGTGGAAAATACAGATGTTCGGAAAATTATACTGTATCCTATAATGCTATCATAACCTAAGAAGCTGTTGGAACCTGTTAAGTACTTTACTATATTAGAAATACACTGAAGCAGCTTGTTGGGAATATGACAAAAAGGAAATAGATTTTATGACCAAATTAGGTTTGCTCATAAAAACTCTTAAATTTCTAATGCATGTTTGGCTTATACAGATATAGCCTGACATATGGAGCACAAATTATTGCCTTAACTACTGACATAAAAACAATAATGCAGGATTCTGTCCATACACACATTTAGGTATATGTAGTACTTGCTTTTGTACGGTGTGGTTATAAGACATAGTACACTCTAGCATTCATCTGTATTAAAGGGATAGTTCGGTATTTTTGACATGAATCTGTATGGCATCCCGATCACCAGCGGCATGCAATCACACTGACTTACCCCTGGCAGCGTCCTGTGAGCAGAGTTATCGTCAAGTTTTGGTCAAGCCGAAAGTAGTCCTGCAGGTTTTTAGGAACAGCGAAATAAAACTTTTCTCTTCCCAAAACATTATGTGTCCAAAAGAGTGATATTTTCGCATCCCAAAAACATTGTAGTGGAAAAAGTCACACGTCGTTATCAATTGGTCCTATTTTCTCTCTGTTCGTATCAGTGCGCGCCGTCATTCAGACAGCGAGCCCAACAACAGCCATGTCTCCCTCCGCCGCGGAAGGAGACATGGCTGGAGACATGCGTTTTTTTCCCCTTGATTCTTTCTTCAAAGATTTTGTCCAAGCCTTAAGGTCAACATCATTGTTTACTATTATTAACTGGAAAATTGTGACCTTGTGGTTGGTGTGTTTGTTCTAGAGAGGTTGCAAGATCACAGATTTAATCCTTAGACTTTCACTCAAGGTTCCTCAGCAAGGCCCTTGCTTATAGAACCCTCCTTAAGAACAAGCTTAAGGGTGGGTAAAACACAG